ATGAAATAATACCAGTTCTATAAAAAATACTCCAGGAAATTGAAGAGGGAGAAATATCTCTCAACTTTCAACTTTCAAGGTACTCCAGGAGTACCCTGATACAAAAATCAGACAAAGACATCCTAAGACAGGAAAATTAAAGGCCAATATCCCACATGAACACAGATACAAAAATAATTAAAACTGTCTTAGCAAATCAAATCTATCAACTGTACAAAAGCAGGCCACACAGGCCAGATTTGCTCACCCTGCTTTAGAGCACTACTGCTCAACCATAATGGTCCAAATCAAATAATAAAAATATTTGTACCACACTGGAGAAAACTGATATGGTTTACCAATGGAGGTGACTGACATGAACTTCAGCTACTCCAGACACTACCCCAAGGACTGAGAACTTATTCTAACATCTCCTTTCACACATTACTTGCTTTTATTCGAGTTTAGATCTTTTTTCACTTCCTACTTTATGTATTTATCACCAATTCAACCCTAAGCCTTTCATCAATTACTTAAAACTTTCCTAAAGATAATTAAATGCATCAGATTTCTACCAATTTCATTTTCCTGAGAATGACTCTTCTGGAAGCTTCTAACCTACTCCATTCTGGTCTGTTTGCCCTCCAACCCCGTCTTTTCATTGTATGCTGAAGATTTCTTTACCCTTCTCTTTTGTTAAATTTCCTATTTCTTGTAACCTTTCCCTTTTTCATTTGGCTGACTTTCTCATTTTGATGGAAGGGTACAAGGTAGGCAAACAAACAAACCAAAAAAACAAACAAAAAATCTTACATGTCTTAAAACATCTTAATTTAACTCTTATATCTGATTAATAGTTTCAATGCATATGAAATACAAAGGGGTTGAAATTATTTTCCCTGAGAATTTTGAAGGTGATGCTCCGTTTCTCATTTAGTATCTAATGCTACCATTAAGAAGTCCAAAGCCAACTGATTCCTGTTACTTTGACACATTTTTTTCCCTCTCTGAAAGCATGGAAAGACCTGTTTCACCCAGTGATTTGAAATTTCACCACGATGTGTCTTAGTTTGTGTTTATATTCATCCATTGTAATGAGTACTCAGTAAGCCTTTTGAACCAGAAACTCATGTTCTTTAGTCCAAGAAAGTTTTCTTGAATCATTTTGTTGATGACTTCTTCCCCATTTTCTCTGTTTCTTCTGGGAACTACTGGTGTTGTTTTTCTTTTTTTAATTAATTAATTTATTTATTTTTGGCTGCGTTGGGTTTTTGTAGCTGCGTGCGGGCTTTCTCTAGTTGTGGTGAGCGGGGACTACTCTTCATTGCAGAGCGTGGGCTTCTCATTGTGTGGTTTCTCTTGTTGCGGAGCAGCACGGGTTCTAGGCACGCAGGCTTCAGTAGCTGTGGCACACAGGCTCTAGCATGCACGCTTAGTAGTTGTGGTGCACGGGCTCAGCTGCTCCACAGCATGTGGGATCCTCCCAGACCAGGGCTCAAACCCGTGTCCCCTGCACTGGCAGGCAGATTCTTAACCACTGTGCCACCAGGGAAGTCCCAACTACTATTATTTGAATACTGAAATTCCTGGACTGCCCCTGTAAGTTTCTTAATACTCCTCACTTCTCTTCTGTAACATTTGTTCTTTTACTCAACTTTTTCACAGATTTCTTCAACATTAATTTTCTAAGTACTTCTACAAAGCTTTTTTGATCTCTGCTATCAGAATTTTAATGTCTAAGAGCCTCTTTTAAAAATCAGAATTATTACTCTTTTCCAGTAACTCCTTATTTCATGGCTGTATTATTTTCTCTTATTTCCCTGAAGTTGTTTATAATGGTTGTTATTTTCCTCTGCAAAAGATCTGTTCTCAGTTGCTCTATCCTGTTTATTTTAATCTCTACCTTTCATACATTACAGGGTTTCCTCAAATATCTAGTAATCCTCGGTCAGCTGCTCATAGTTAGGAGAAAGGACTAAAAGGTTGATTATTTTCAGTATGGGACTCCTGCCCTCCACTATGCCTGGTTGTCTTCTGCTCTAGAGAGAGTCTCTATTTTTGCCCTCTCCAAAGAATAAATTTCTGGGCTTTGCCAAAGTTAGGGGTGAAGAGCTGGGCACTTGTCAAGCTAACTGGTTAGCTCATTTTGAGAAGGAGGTCCCAGGAACCAAGGGCTTCTTCGACTGACTTTCAACCAATCCTCCTTTCACTTCCACTTCCACATGCTGCCATTCTTGAGTTTTTTTAGTCTTTTGGAGGGTAAATCAGATTATTTTCTTGATTTTCTCTGCTACTGAGTTTAGCATCCAGTCTACAATTATTCATATACTCCCTAGTTTCTAAAATTGTGTTGATTTTGTCTCCTCTCTAATTCCCCTTTACTGATCTTTTAGCAGGTTTCTGAAAGGAGAAAAAGTAGAAGTATGTGTTCATCCTACCTCTTTATTCCTGATAATATGGATTCTCATTCATTCCAACTCATTATAGATGGCTTTGTATTTTTACTTCTGTCTTTTGCATAAAAAGATACAGTAAGTCCCCTACATACGATCGAGTTCTGTTACAAGAGCGCGTTCGGAAGTCCAATTTGTTCAAAAGTCCAACACAACTAACACAGTTGGCTATATACTGCTGCTTTTATGCTTGCTTCCGGACATCCTGGGCTTGAAATAAAGAAATAAAGATACTGTACTACTGTACTCTATACAGTACTGTAAAGTACACAAAAGCACAACCACTTGTAGAGGATGCACGTACGTGACAATATACGTCAGACGTGAACTAACTTACGTGAGTGGACATGCGAACACATGTTCGCATCTTTGAAAGTTTGCAACTTGAAGTATTCGTATGTAGGGGACTTACTGTATTACAAATAAAATCTCTAAAAAGGTGAGAAACATGCTTTTATATCAGTTAACTCTCATAATGATACAGTTCCTAATGACTTCTAATTGACATCAGTCCTGATGAGTTCTGAGATCATCAGGCAGCTGTGCTCAGATCATGAAAATCACTGATTTTGCTGTTAAGTTCAGCTTTTGTTACTAAAATTCAATTATACTCATTGATTTGAAAAATATTTCAACTGACATAATTCAGAGAGCACAAGGTAAATTAATAACCTCCCACATCTATATCTGTGACATTAAATAAAATTAAACTTTAATAAAAATTAGTATAATTATTTTTCTATTCATTTGTACTAATTTTGTTTTTAGGGTTATATGATGAGGGCACCCAAGGTGGCTGTTCTCTTGCTCTCTCTACATCCCCTGTTCACCAGTCCCTGCTTCACCTACACCCTACTCACATGACTGACCTTCCCTCTTAATCATAGAGCCTAATCAGTAAATGCCTGGTCTAATCTTCAGATCAGAACATCTCCACCACAATAACTTATCAAAGGGGCAGTGAGGGGTGTGCTCCTCTGCTTGTTTCCCTGGTAACCAATGAGCCAACCTGACATCAATTCCCCCTATAACTGGTAAACACCTCCACCCATCCCCTCTCCCAGGAGTGGTCTACTGTTGCCATATCCTGCCCACTGTCTTCTGCACACAGGACCTTGCTTCAGACATGTAAGATTCTCATATCCATTAAATCACTGATGTCTCTGTTGCTGACTCTGGGTTCTTTCTTCTGTCTTGAGGCTGGGCAAGTACAGGGCATGCAGGCCTACAGGGTGTAGACCAACAAGGATTTTAAACACATAAGCTCATTTTCTTTCTTTCCTTGCCACCAAGGTTTATTGAGATATAACTGACATAAAACATTATATAAGTTTAAGGTGTACAATGTGTTCATTTGATATACTTATATATTACAATTCAGTTTTTCTCTTAATTTCTTTTTTTATATCAAAATACATGTAACGTGAAAAAGTGAAAACTTACACGAATTCCTGACATTTATAATACGTGCATATTATTTAAAAATGATTAAAAGTACTAGTGTTAAGTTTAAATTTCCAAATCAACCTGCATATATTATTCTTCTTTTTATTCTGCAACAAACAACTGTATTAAAAATAGTACAACTCTAAAACTTGGGAAGAGCAAAGTTGGAGAAAAAAGGGAACAGGATTATAGAACAAATGAACCAGGAGCTTTTACAGGATTAAAACATCACACATTTGTATATCTAAGGCTTCATTTTATTTGTAAATACTCTCAAAAAACTAAACTCAGTAAAGACTGCTTGAAATTTTGCAGTATTTTAATCAGTCTGGGTTCCTAACTCTCATTCTCTTAGAGATGACTTCATTCATCCAACAGTATTTATTCAGTAACTACTACTGTATATACCAGGTACTTATTCTTGGCACTGGAAATACAGCAGTGAACAAAGAAAACCAAAAATCTCTGCAATCATGAAACATTCATTCTAGTTTTAGATAGAGAAAACAAATATAAAGGTGATAAGTACTATAAAGAAAAACGTGGAGGTGCTAGTCCTGCAAATTTAAATGTTCCTTAGGGAAGGCCTATCTGAAAATCCACTGGTAGAGAATACTTTAACCTAGTTTTGAAGTTGTCACTTCAAAAAAACCAGTCAAAAGCCTATGATAATAAATTTTAAACAGAAAATGAAAATAAGTAAGAAGATCTTAATTTTAGGTAATAATTATAAACAAAACCCATTTCTTCTGAGACAGCTGGGACAACAAATATTGCATTGATGAACTTTTAAAAGCCAGTGTGATGACACTTGCAACAAATGTTACTGCTAAAAATTTACTTTGGGTTATATTCCCAAAGTGATATCCAGACATATACCACAATGCTCCAAAATTACTTAAAACCTTAATATCGTTAAAAAAGAGACCATTTCTCATTTTCTTTTATCCTGAATAGATGATTATCATATGGAACTAATTAGATTGTAACATCTGAACTCCTAAATGAGAAATGAGAATATCTAAACTTGACCCAGTGAAAACCCCAGTCCTCAGATTAAGTACTGGAAAGGAATAGCTGGTATCTATTCTTTTTAATTTAATAAATTTGAGGAAAATTTACCTTGCCCAGAGCGGCTTTGGCGAGAGTCTACACTTGACTGTCTTCGATCCGGTGCTTCCTCGTTCCCTCCATCTGCATAAAATTAGAGCGATCATAAGCGAATAGATAATGAAATTGATGTACCCTGGCGACATCTATATCTTAACACTACTATAGCTATCATTTGTTTTCATTTCTTATAAGCTCAATCATTAAAATATTTGAGGATTTTTCATACACAAAGCAAAGGTCCTCACCCTTACTTTTGTGGGGATGGTTTACACTCCTCTCTGAAAGTCTAAAGAAAGTGAAGGTATTTTTTCCCTACCCCCATATATATACACTCTACTTTGCATATAATAAAGCAATGTTATCTACTCTGAAGTTCATTCACAGAATTTCAATTTAAAAGCCTTGATTTAAAGCAATGTCTAAATTAATTACAGCTGCTTATTTAATCTAAAGTATCTCAAATAATCCTTAGGACTATATATTTTACTCTAATAAAATTTACATTTACATGTTTTATGAGAGATAATGGGAAAATTACATAATACATGAAAAAGCAATATAAATCAGAATCAGAAAAACTCAGAAATGAGGAGGCAGAAACCAAGAAATAATGAGAAATCAAACAAAAATCATTTCAGTAATGAAGACTATAAGAAATACAAGAGCAAACAAACACAAAAGGTCTTAAAAGAAATAGAAGGTAAGATGGAAGAAAATCTTTAACAAATTTTTTAAAAAGAAGAAATAGATTAAAAAGGATCTGTAAGAAGGGGATAAATATTGGAGGTAGGCAAAGAAGATCCAGCATAAGGATAAACATAGGAGTCCCTGAAGAAGAAAACCAAAGTGAGAAAACAGAACAAATACCGAAAGACTATAATTCAAGAAAGCTTTCCAGAGGAAAAAAAGTGGCTATATATGTGTAACATATATAGTTATATGTGTGTATAAATACATTTATACATGCACACACATATATATATACATCTATATTTGAAACTACATATTTCAAGAGCATCCTGTGTCCTACTTAATCAACTCAGATCAATACACCAAGACATTTTCTACTAAAACTAATGGACTTTAAAGGGAAAAAAAATCCTTTGGGCATTTAGGCAAATACATCACATGATTAATAAGGGAAAACAACAGAAGAAAACAGAATAATATATTTAAAACACACAAGGAAAAAAAAATTGAACCAAAGGCTTTACAACCAGTAAAACTTACCTTTAAGTATAAAGAGTAAAGAAAAACTATTACTAACATGCAAGAACTCAAGGAATATTGTTCCCATGGGCCTCTTCCTAGCTCTACCAGAAAACTAACTTTAGGCAACCAAAGTGACTAGAGAGACATTAAATAAGGACTGGTGGTGAGCATACATATACAACTGACTGTAGAATTAGACTACATGAGATGTAGAGAACAAATGTATGGACACCAAGGGAGGAAAGCGGGGGCAGGGGGGATGAATTGGGAGATTGGGATTGACATATATACACTAATATGTATAAAATAGATAACTAACAAGAATCTGCTGTATAAAAAAAATAAAAGTTCAAAGAAAAAGACTGAGAGTTTTAAATGGAGAGATTATAATATGTAATGGCTATAAGATCTGACAACGAAGATACAGTACAGCCAAAACAAATGAAGAATAAACAAAAAGTAACTGATTTCAGAAATCAAAATTGGTAATTGTAATGTTGTGACACCACTGTATTTAAAAAGAGGGATAAAGCAAATGAATAATTATGGGTACTCTAATGGTATCATCTCCTTGAGAACCAGAATTCTCCGGGCGGAAGAAAGGAACAACTATAGATATAAGAATACAGAAGAAGTTAAGTAAAAACTCTTTAGTATTGAATCTATATTGGAAACATCAGTACAGTCTTACAAGTCACATGTATGTCCTAGCTCTGTCCACTTAAAACACCTAACACCTTGATTAATCAAGTAGTACTAACCACTCCTAGGGCCCAGACTGTTATCCTGAAATGCCATTCTCCATTAAAAGAAATCAGAACTTCTTAAAGAAGCAGCTGGTTTAGCAAAGGAAAAGTACTAGATGAACTTGGAACACGCTGACATATGTAACAGTAAAGAAGCTATTAAAGACAATGTAAAATTGAGGTCACGTCAAAAAAAAAAACAGTGAAGAAGCTCATCAACATTCAAGAACTCAGGGAATATTGTCCCATGGATCTCTTCCTAGCTCTACCAGAGAACTAACTAACTAAATGTACAACTGACTATAGATCATAATGTTTTTTTTAAAAAAAAACAAAACAAACCACAGCACTACCACACTAACTGGTCACCTTCTGAGGTTGAGAGGGGCCCAGTTCATTATCTTGAAAACTGTGGAAAAGAAAGAATCAGCAATTCATCCTACATTCCCTATATAAACTGTACTAGTAGCCAAAAAGTATATGAGAGCTCTCTCTATAAAATTATTCCAAATAAATGGGAAACAAAAGATAAAATATCACCATTTCACAAACTGCAATTAATTAATATCTCTGCAGCCATCGAGCACCAATGGCTAATAACACCAAAAAAGAGAAAAAACTGGACATTATATGCCTCCTAATGATAGGAACACAACTACAGTTTTGCCAAAGCAATCAAACCTGAGTCTAGTCAAACCTCTGAAACTAGCTGTCAGTTTCCAGGAAAAACAAAGAACAGAAGAAAATGCTGAATTGTTCCTGAGTGCATAATCAACAAAATACTGATTGTGGGAAATTCTACAGGTCAAACAATCCAGGTCCCTCAACAGGTAAAGAAAAAAAATAAAGTATTATGAGGTCCTAAATTATTGTGAAACAAAAATTCATTTTATGAAAAGATAAAACTATACCAGAAATCTGTGGCATCTTATATCAGGGATCAGGATGTGTAAATACAGTCCTAGTCAATTTCCCTTCCTACTGATCATCTAATTTTTTAATGCAAATTTCTTTCTTCTCCTTTACTTGGGAATAAATTACAATGAGCAACACTTGTATTCAGGCCTGCCTTAAATATTCATTTTCCACATGGATAAAATTACATACATGCATCACATTCTCTGTTTTAACATCAAAACATGCCCTTGAAGTATGTGAGAAGTAATACGAATAAAATACAGACATTTCCCCTCACCAGGATGTCTTTCTAAATAATAAAAGGAGAAAAAAATAAAAAAACAAGGCTTCAAACAAATTAAATTTGCACGATCTGCAGTATGTCAGCGTATCAGTAAAACAACCTACAGGAAAACTACAGACAAGAAATGGTTTAAGACAGTTTTGAGTCAGCCAGCCAATGGCAAGACAAAAAGTCACCAATTTTGATACCATCATAATCTAAAATGTTTTAATTGCCTGAATTTAAAAAATTAAATTAGAACTACATTGCAGTAAATTTCAGCAATTCACTCCTCTACGACTGATATCTTAACCATGTCTTACTCTAGTGGAGGTTAGTCATAAGAGTTGAGATTAACTCTCAGGTAAAAGTAAACAGCTAAAGATTTTTTTTTAAATAATAAACTCACCATTGACCCAAGATGGTATAGAAAAAAAGTTCAAGCTCTTTAAAAGTGTCTTGTGGTATGCTATGCAATCAATGACTCCATTATCCAAAACAGCAAGACTGCAATGATGCACAGTACTTTGCATATTTTTGCTTTGCTTAAAACACAATTCCTTCAGTACAGATAAGACCTCCCACACATAATACATACATCTACGTTTATGGACAAAACAGAAGACCTTCAGTCATCAAGCAAATCAAGTTACTTGCATAAGACTCATTACCTCACCCTGAAGTGCAGAAGGGAGAAAGGGGCTGTGTCTGTGAAGTTAGAATTTACTCATCAAGCTTCAGTTAAAGACTTTCTTCAATGTTAACAGGTACAAAATTTAAAAAGACCTGACTAAAAAGAAAAAAAAAAAGACCTGATTGTCCAAGTGCTAGCTTTTAAAATTAGAGCTTAGGTTTCCTAGATTTGTTCTCATCAGAGAACACTTGTTTTTTTATCAGCAAACTAAATTAAATCCAGCAAATAATATAAAACAATACACCTTTAATAGACTTCCTCGTCCCATTATTTAAAAGGGAAAAATGTCATAGGAATATTTAATTCATAGTGTGAACAGCTTTCAACTCAGGTCATAAATGCACTAAAACAGTCTAAGTAAAAAAAAATACCAACTACATAGGGATATTCTGTATTTAGTGTTTTCCTATGAAGAAATTTAAGTTAGAGAAAGGCTTAAAAGAAAGTGTCTACTTCCAAGACAAATGTTTTCTTTCCTTCAAGTAGAAGATACTTCAAATGATTATTCTTCTCAGTCCAGGATCAAAATATTACAGTTGAAAAATAAACAACTTAAGTGACCTTGAATTTGGTAGCCCCAGCCCATCTTTAGTATTCTCAGTTAAATAATGTGCCAGAATAAATATTAGATTTTATGAATTAAGATTTTGAAGTTGATTGTCTTCAGTCCTCCTTTAGAAGTATAAATATATATGACCTTAACAGAAGGGGTGGGAAGTATTAAAACTATATACATATAATCTATTATACATATAGATTAAAGTTTTACTATTCAGATATGAACTCTGCTCTCTTTTACTATTCAGGTATGAATCTGTAAGAACTGTATACACTTAATGCCAACAAAGGGAGACATGAATTGGAGGACATATATGGAATGTAATGAAAATGCAAAAGTATGGACCAGGAACATAAGCTAGATTTGTTTATTAGCCAAGGTCCACTTATGAAGAGGAACATACAGAAGATGTTCCTTGGCTACATATGCACGATGATAACCAGAAAAGATGAAAAGCAGCTCATCTGTTTGGTGTAGAAAAGAGAAAAGAACTACAATTTGTTCAGTATCTATTCTCTGCTGGCTATGGGGTCAGTAAGGTCTTTACAACATTATCTCATTTAATACTAATAATAATTCAATGAAACAAGTAGTACGCCCATTTTTAAAAATAAATTTATTTATTTTGTTTGTTTATTTTGGCTGTGTTGGGTCTTCGTTGCTGCGTGCAGGCTTTCTCTAGTTGCGGCG